AAGACTGAGGTTTCCCAAAGAAGAAAGAATTCTGCCTCCAGGCTGTCTTTGGACTCAAGTCAGTACCATCAGCTCTACCCTAGGTTGACGTCAACCTGCTCTGTAGATTTTGGACTTGCCAGCCCCCCCAATCACATGGACCAATTCCTTAAATCTTTAAAATCCTCTCTCTCTCTCTCTCTCTCTCCACCCCCCCCCCCTTCTCTCTCTCTCTCTCTCTCTCTCTCTCTCTCTGTACACATACATCCTATTGGTTCTGTTTCTCTGGAGAACCTTGACTAATACACACTTTGTGATGAGCAGACTCTGAAGTGGCCCTTGGGGCCATCTTGCTCTATCCACCGCCCCCCCCCCCCACTTTCCCCAACTTCACACACAGTCTCCCAAGCCTGCCTCAGACCACCGTCTTCCCCACCCACCCTGCCAACCCCCTCTCCTGGCCATCCTTCAGTGTACCTGCTCCAAGTCAGCCCCGAGACTGAATTCCCAGGAAAGACCTTTTCCCTCCAGCCTTGCAGAGACCAGACCCCATGCCCCAGCCACTGCTGCAGAAGAGAGGGGTCCAACAGGGACGCTCAGAGACCAGGCAGGCCATCCACACCGGGAGCCTGGGAGAGCAGGATGGCAGCACAGAGGGGCCTGTGGAGAAGCTTGCCCACACAGAGCTTCCAAATGCAATGAAAACACATGCCTTTGAAGACTAAACATCCCACACGGACCCACCCTGAGGGCTGCCGGTGGGCCTCTGCTCTGGCTTTGCTGCCTGGAGAGAGAGATACCGGGAGCTGGGCAGGGGCATCAGGCTGGGCAGGGGCATCGGAGCTGGGCAGGGGCATCAGAGCTGGGCAGGCGCATCGGAGCTGGGCAGGGGCATTGGAGATGGGCAGGGGCATCGGAGCTGGGCAGGAGGAGAGCGCTTCCCATCTGACCCAGGACCTCACTGGCCCCTCTCCTCCAGGGTGAGGAGGACCTGGCGCAGGCTGCCTCCTCTGTGGCCTGGAACCCATGGTTGGACAGATTAAACTTGAGTAACTGTCCAGTAGCTGCTGTCCTTTTCCAGCTGCAGTCCATCTCAGCTGAACCGGGACCTGATCAGAAATTCCCACAAGTCAGATGAAGAAAGGGGAGATTTTTAAGAAGCATCATATGGGCTGCAGACACGTTGGCTGTGAAACCTGTACTGTATTGTACCTTCACTGTCTGGGCTTGGACCATCTATTCTTCCCACACTCCACCTTTGGAGCCCAGCTTCAGGGATTCTGGGGGAATGGCGCCCCCTGGAGCCCACTCCTGGGATGCACAGTCCCTGCTTTCAGGTTTAGGTTTCAAAGCCTGGATGTGAAGGCTCTGAGGTCCAGATTCCTACGGCTTGGGTCCCAGCCCTTCAGAGTTGTCATACCTGCATCAAATGTGGCAGTAGTTCCTAGCAACGTTCACCCTGAGTGGGCCTCTCCAAGGCAACGTGGTTTTCATCCAAAAACTCTTCAAGTTCATTAGATTTCATGACATTTAATTAAATCCTTTTCTTAAAATGACAAGTACTGTCGGAAGTTGTGGCTTTGGGAAAAAAAAAATAGGCGACTGTGAGAGGCGTCCCCTCACCTGGTGGGAGCACAGGGGCAGGCGGGGGTGGGTCCCAGGCTTTGTGGAGGGAGCAGAGGCCCCTGCCCGATGCCCAGGGACAGCTGCGTGGGCGGCCTGGGGACTCCGCTCTCACACTGACTGGGTGAATCCGGTGACCCCATCCCTGGGTTCAGTCCATCTGGTTCTCAGTGACCCCAGGTTCTCAGTGACCTCAACAAGAGGCCGTGCTGGGTGCTCCTGAGCCAGGCAGCAGGGGGCGCCCCAGACCACCTAATGCAGTGGTTCTCAACCTTCTGGCCCTTTCAATACAGTTCCTCATGTTGTGACCCAACCATAAAATTTTCATTGCTACTTCATAACTGTATTGTTGCTACTGTTATGAATCGTCATTTAAATATCTGATATGCAGGATGGTCTTAGGCGACCCCTGTGAAAGGGTCATTCGACCGCCAAAGGGGTCGCGGCCCACAGGTTGAGAACCGCTGACCTAATGGGAGCATTGCAGCGCTGACTGAGGAGGACAGGCCCAGGCCGCCCCTGGTGTAGGTGAAGCAGCAGAGAAGGTAAGGGTCCCCAGGCAGGTGCCCTGGCTGGATCCCTTCCCGCACCGCTGCTGGGCTCTGCAGCCTGCCCTTCTGTCCGTCGGCCCAGTGAACTTGGGAGGGAAACAGACAGGGTGGCCTTTGTCCTCTCTGTCCACCAAGACCAGAGCTTCTTCTCACCCAGGCAGGTGGGACCTTCGGAGGCTCTGGTGCATCCTGTGCAGGTGGGGGCAGGGGCTGGGGGAGCAGGGGAACTGACCCCCCCAGGCAGTGGTAGTCACCCAGGCTTCAGAGCAGAGTCACCTGGAGATTTTATAAACACTAATCTGGGCCCTGCCCAGACAGTTACAGTCAAATCCCACCTTAGGAGACTGGGAGCTGGAAACCCCACTGTCTAAAAGATCGGCAGGTGGTCCTGAATGGGTGCCCGGTTGAGAACCTCTGCTTTGAAAGCCCGGCCCTGGACCTGCTCAGCACCCTGGTAACCAGGTAGAAACGCAGAGTCCCAGGCCCACCACTGAGCCCTTGAATCAGGGCTCTGAGAGATGTGGGCCCAGCGCTCTGCATTCTAAGGTGTCCCCTACGCGATTCTGACCCTGCCCAGGTTGAGAACCTGCCCAGGCCTCGTTATCCTGGCTGCTCTGGGGCCAGCAGCAGAGGCATCTCCTAGGCTGGGATCTTGTTAGGAATGCAGAGTCCAATTTGTTGAATCAGAACCAGCATTTTAACAGGACCCCTGGGCAATCTGTGGCTCTAAGTTCCCCATTGAACAAGAACAATACAAGGCTGGTGTGTGAGCCCAGCAGGGAGTGGCTGCTGAGTGAGGGGGCAAAGGGGTTGTCCTCCCGGGGCGGGCAGAAAAGCAGGCCTTCAGGTGGGCCCTCCAGATGAGGTTCTCCAGGTGGGGCCCTCCAGGTAAGACCCTCCGGGCCAGTTCTGCAGGTGGGGCAAGGGAAGGTCTGCAGTCGGGCCAGTAAGGGAGAGTGGCTTGATGGGCTCAGGAAGAGAGAAAAGGCGGGGGGGGGGGGGGGGGGCGGGGATGAGTGGCAGTGGCGGTGGAAGACCTAGGAGGTCAACCCAGGATGGGAGGTCAGAATGCTAAGGGAGCTGGTGGTGGTGGTTTTGTAAAAGTGTTTTTCCCTACATAAAAGTAATAAATTAAGGATAATATATATACCCAGAAAGAGGAAACAACAGGTATACCCCTAGCTCTACCCTCCCACACACCATCATTGCTCATTTTTCTAGGTATAGTTTTCCACTGAATAGTTATAAAGATGCGGTACATGCAATTTTATTTTCATTTCTCATTTGAATGGGGACGTGTGGGCAGACTCTGATGAAGCTGGGGACCTGAACCCTCTAAATTCTGCTGAACCTCCTTTGTCTGGAGAAGCCATCCTTCCTATCCATCTGGGGGGTCAGTCCCCCCTCACCTGAAGAACCTGCATAGTCTCCCCTGAAGTACTTGTCTTGCAAGGGGCTGGTTCCCCTTGGGTCAAGCCCACCGTGTCTCTGCTTGTAGATCTAAGACCAGATCCTGAGGTTCAGATGTGACCTAGAAGATGAGGGACCCAGGAGTCACCACATGTGACCATTTATGTCAACAGAAACCCAGGGAACAGATATGGGGGCCGGGATGGAGGTGATATAAGACTGCATTGACCCGAGGGCTGGCTTGGGTCCACTCGGCAGAGATTCTGGATTCCCTGGTGACAGGGAGTGGCTCGTTGACAAGGGGGCCGATGCAGAAGGAGGCTGAGAGGCCAGACTGTTTGTCCCTGGAAAGGGCAGGTGCCCAAAGGCTTGGGGAGCCCAGGTGTGTGCTGGGCGGATCTATCACCTAGGACCTGCTTGCCACCCTTCCCACCTCCCCCAGCGACATGCCGTGCTCTGTGGCTGTGAGGAACACGTGGGCGAGGAAGCCCTCTGTGGTGACTCGCACTGACGCTGGGGACTGCTGCCCTGGACGTGCTCCTGGACTCAGTGGGCGATGGGACCCCTCGGGCAGGGCCAGGAGGCGTGGCTACCATCGTGGGTTTAATCAGCGCAGCCTGACCCACAGAGACCCTGGGACAGCTCCCTTCCCGACACAGATTCAATCACTGTGCTTACATAAGCAGGAGGCGCTGGTCTGCAGATGCAAAGTTGGGCTGGACACCCCCACTTCCTGCCTGCGACTCTGCTCAGCCTGTTCTGCGGTGGGGGCCCCTGATCCAGGGCTCTCTGGGGGTCCCCAGGGCAGCTCTGTGATTACCCTGCTCCTGTGAGGGGGAGGGGGGGGAATGTCAGCCCCAATGTCAAACTCAGAACATCTTTCTCTCTTGGCGCAGAGGGAGTGCCAGTGTTGAATTCATTCTAAAACCCTCCAAAGGGGCCTGTCCAAGCATGTTTTTCTCCCAATTTCATCTTTGGATGAGATTGCAAAAGTGCCCCCGTGGGATTCCACTGCCAGCAGGGCCACCGGCCGTCAGTCCTCTGGCAGGAGATGAAATACATTCAGTTTGACGGTTCCCGTAGGTGACGTCTCCGTCCTTGTCCGGCCTTTTATAAAGAGGAGCCTGTGTGCTGGTGGCTGACGCCCATCGGGCTGTGAAGTGAGACTGAGGGACAGGAGCAGCCAGGTAACCTCGGACAGGCAGCTGATGGGGCAGGGGGAGGGGTGCAGTTTCTTAAATTGTTAAAATTAAGGCCAATGAAACATGGTCAGCCTCAGAATAATGGCTGGAAGCCACTGAAACTGAAATTGCTGTGAAAACACTGGGAACTTGTCTTTCCACTGGAGCTTCTTCCAGGAGCTGCCACTTTGGGAGTGGCGGGAAGAGCTGGGGCCCCCGGGGGTGGGTGGCCCCACCTTTCTGGTTCCTCCTGCTGCAGGTGGACCTGACCCAGTCGGTCGGTCAGTCGCAGGGGGATGTGCCTGGGGAAGATGAAGACCTGCCTGCTGCCCGGGGTGGCCCTCTGCCTCTTGCTGGTGCCTCTGGTGGGTGAGTGGCTGCTTTGTTCCTCTTCGTGCCCCTCAGGGCAGCTGGCGCTCAACAAGGGCCCTGCTCTGAGGCTCTCCTGGCTGACCGCTCTCCTCTTTCTTTGCAGGGGCCAAGCCTGTGCAGGATGAGGGAGGTATTGCATCTGCCTCCAGTTTCTTTTCTCCTGTTGGTGGGGGCGGGGGCAGAAGAAGGGTTGGGTGGGCACTGCTTCTTATTCCAAGAAGATGAAGGGGAGCCCTGAGTCAGGTGGAGGTAAAGCCCTGTCCCCAGAGGGACTGGAGCCCCTTCCCCAGACTGTGCCCTCCAGGCCTCTGGGGACACACCAGGCAGGAGGGAGCCAGACTCTGCATGGTGTTCAACCCTCCAAGCCCCGGAGGACACACATTTCACCCTCAGTACAGTAGCATACAGGCTCTGGGGGTGGGGGTGGGGAGGTGGGGTGTGGTCTCCTTTGATATCCCACCAGGAGTCCCCCACGATCCCACCACAGCGACCCCTCCCTGTTCAGTATGTCCAGGACAGGGGCTAGACTTCCCCCTTTCCCCTACCCTCCTCTGTCGCCCTCACCAGGAGTCAGGGCAGGACTAGCTCATCCCCCACTGCTCCTTGGATGACCAGGCTCCAGGGAGCTTCCAGGAGGCCCCGGGATGACCCAGGCTGTGCTCCCAACTGGGAGGGTCCCTTCACTGCACTGGCCCTGCTGGGCACCCCCACCTGCCTGAGTCCCCACGGGGGGGGGGGGGCAACCTGGGCAGGACCAGTGGCACAGCCCCTGAGCCAGGCTGTCATGTGTCTTTCAGACCCATATGCCGAGCTGCCGGCCATGCCCTACTGGCCCTTCTCCACCTCTGACTTCTGGAACTACGTGCAGTTCTTCCAGACAATGGGGGCCTACCCCCAGATCGAGGACATGGCCCGCACCTTCTTTGCTCACTTCCCCCTGGGAACCACCCTGGGCTTCCACGTCCCCTATCAGGAGGACTGAGGGGTCCCCAGCCTGGCGCCCTGGCCTCATCAATAAACTCCTGACTTAAAATGCACAACACATGCTGTGACTTTTTTTCAAGACACAGCTGCACTCGGGACCTGTTTGCCTTCTCACCTCATCAGAAACCAATCTAACAAGCTGCAACTAGCTTTTCCATTGAAATAAAATAATAGAAAGGACTATCTATTGAACTGTAGATACTAGTATTTGGACCAGCATCTAACTACAGAAATTGTTACACCTGATCAGAAACGTAGGGCTTTGTGAAACGTGTGTGTTATGTGTTACATTTGGGTGGGATGGGTGATGGAACATGATTTCATGAGAGGCGTGACAGGTGGTCCTTTAAGATCACTGCTGCAGCTGCTGCTCGGAGCCTCACGCAAGTTATCTCAAGAAGCAAGGAGATTACAGTGCTGGTTCTCACAGCCACAAAGGGCGGGGGTGGGAGGGGACTCTCCCAGGACCCAGGCATATGCGGTGAGGGACCTGGAAAGGGGGAGGTGGCATTGGGGCCCAGAGTACAGGCCTGGTGCCTCCTGTGGCCACCCCACTGGCTCCATACCTCCACGAGGCTTCCTGCCCTCTCACCTTCACCTGTGGCTTCTCTCCCCGTGGCCCAGGTTAAATTCTCAAGAGGAAGACTCTGTTGGCCGAGCTGATTCTGTTGGGCAAAGCTAATACATTCTTTGTCTCTCTTTTCCTCCCTTGAGCTAGTTTGAATTTGGTTTCTGTGAATTTTTTTAAAGTCCTGATTCCTACAATAGCTGGACATGAGGATTGGTCTTAAATTCCTACTGGGGACAACTGGGCCTCAACCAAACATCAGAAAAAAGACACCCTGACAGGAGTATCTCCATAACAATGACTTGCCTGTCAATTCGTGTGTGTGTGTGTGTGTGTGTGTGTGTGTGTGTGTGTGTGTGTGAACATTTACGTTCCACTCAAATTCTTGTATCCCCAGTTAGGACAAGCATTACGGAATGGAGTCCCCAGCTGCCTCTCTATAGGCTGCCCTAAAGGCCGGGTGCCTTTCTAGGCAGACTCCATGGCTCCCTGGCCAGAACTATGTCCCCTCTGGGGTGTCAGCAGCATCCCAGGTGCCCAGGAACACACAGCTGGGCTGCATTTATGGGTCGTGAAAACCCTAGCAGACCTTCCTTCTTTTCCCAGAGGAAGAACCTCTATCCCCAGGTCACCCTCAGCAGATCCCTACCTCCCCCCACCCCACCCCACCCCAGCCAATAAATAGCAGACTGCCTACCTCACAGCCCCCTGGGATACCTCATTCTGGTGTTTAGGACTCAGATTTGGCTGTGACTCCCCCTCACCCTAGTTCACATAACAGGTTCAGTTCCCTTCTATGCAACCCTCTCTCGGTTTCCCCTTTCAGTCAGATCCAACTCCTGGTCCATGTTCTCAGCCCCCTTCACCCCACAACACACACAAAAAGCATTAGCCACTGCCATCATCCCTGGTACCTGATGGCCGTGGGGACCACAATCCATGGCGATGGTTACCTGAGCTGCTTCTATTTTAAGCTATTGTGACTGATGCTGCTGTGAATATGGGTGTGCAAATTATCTCAGAACTCTGCTTTCATTACTTTTGAGTCTATACTCAGAAGTGGAATTGCTGGATCTCATGGTAACTCTGTGTTTCATTTCGGAGGAGAACCGCCATACTGTTTTCCACCACTGCTGCGCCATGTAGGTTCCCACCAACAGTGCTCAGGGCTCCAGTTTCCCCACATCCTCCTGACTCTGTTATTTTCTGGGGTTTTGATAGCAGCCATCCTGATGGCTGAGGAGGTATCACTGTGGTTTGATTTGCATTCCTGGTGATCAGTGCTGTTGAGCATCTTTTCATGGGCTTTTGGCCATTCTTGTACCTTCTTCGGAGAAAGGTCTATTCAGGTCCTTTACCCATTGTCGAAGGGAGTTATTTGTTGTTGTTGTTGAGTTTCAGTCCTCTGTACATCTGGATATTAATTCTAATATCAGGTATATATGATTGGCAAATCTTTTCTCCCATTCTGGGCTGCCTTTTGACTCTATTGACCATCCACATTCTTTAATGAGTATTTCTTGGGCACTCTCTGTGCCAGACCCTTTGGGCTGACCTGTCTGTGGCCGTGGGCCACCTGGACGCCACTGAGCAGCTCCCCTTGTGCCCTGACAGGCAGGCGGGAAAGCCCACCCACTTCAGCGGGGACTCGGGGCCAGTCCTGTGGGTCCATAGGGAAACATAGAGTCGGGGGTCCTCCGACGTCTAGAAACACCAGATAAAGAGGAGGGAAGGGAAGGGGAATACCATAGAGTCGACGATCCTTCGGCGTCTAGACGTGCCGCGGCAGGATGCGTACCGGAAGAGGCGGGCAGATGGCCGGAAGTGGGCCAGGGACACCCGGAACGCCTTGGGGGAGATGAAGCCAGCGGTGGACGAGATGTTCCCCGAGGGCGCCGGGCCCTACGTGGACCTGGATGAGGTGAGGCGGGTGGCTGCGGGGCGAGAGAAGGCGACGGTCCAGTGAGAGGTGAGGGCCGTGCGTGTGTGGGGGCCGGCGTCCCCGGACCCGACAGTGCCCTCCATGCCGAGGACCGCCGGTGCCTGCGGCCAGATGTCGGATCGCCCTGTGTGACTACGGAGGCCGCACGTCCGGGGCCGCGGGGCACGCGAGGGGCGTCGGGGTAACGGAGGACGGTAGCGTCTCGTCTGCGGGACGGGAGACCGGAGCGAGGCCGGTAGCGCACGGGAGCTGGGGGCGGGCCGTTTGGCGTTCAGTGACTCTGCACTTCGATGGGACGGTCTGCTGCGTGAGCCTCTCCTGCGATTACTAGTATCCGGGGGTGCGAAGCGGCCTTGCGCGCGCGTCACCCCATGGCGGAATCCAGTCTGCTGCCCGGCGCAGCTCCCGGGCCCGGCCCGCCGCCCGAGGTCAGAGCCTCCTGTTCTGAAAGTGCAGGGGAACGCGCGCCCGCAGGTCGTGGTGGTAGAGCGCCGGTTGCAGAGACCGGTGTGGTGGGAAGTTGGAGGTACCCCGACCGCAGCGCCCTCTGCCCTCTGGGCGGCCCAGTGAAGGCTTAGGAGAGCCGACCGCAGCCAAACCCTGGCCCGTGCTGGCGTCGGCCAAGTGGAGGAGGGTTCAGAAAGGAGGCCTGGCTGGAGGGGGTCCGCAAGGTCCGAGTGTAGTTTAGCATCTTCGGGTGCCTGAGAGAGCTGGGCGCGAAGGGAGCTGGGGAAGGTGCCTGGCCGGTCATGAGGCGCGGGTAGCCCTGCTGGGGAGGGTTCCCTGCACCCACTCAAGGCACTTCCACCAGCGTGGGCTGCTCAGGCCTGTGTTCAAGTCACCGCCCTGGGCAGCCTGGAACCACCGGGGGTATTGATAGGCTCCCATCCCCAGAGTTTAGGGAACAGGAGGCTTGAAGGGGGTCTGAATGAAGGTCATACCTATAGATGGAGGTAGGGACAAGCCCCACACAGCACATTAGGGGGAGAGTTCACATGGCTTGTGGTGATGGGGAAGGGAGGAGGTGGAGAACCCTGGAAATGTCTCCCTGCTACTGAGAGCAGGGTGCGGGGACACATGAGATGCTTGCCCACTGGGAGCCAGGAAAGGTGCAGCAGAAGCCCTGGGAATGTTGGGAATCCAGGCGCAGCAGGGACTGGGGGCCAAGGTACAGAATGCTGCCTCGGAGCTCTCTCCAGCCCTCACCCTGGATGCTGAAGGAGATGCTGATCCTGCGCTCATCAGGTTGCCCAGCTCTGGCTGTGGCTTGGTTTTACTGCCACCACAGAGTTCTGGCGCGAGAGGCTCTGAACCCCGGTCAGCAGGTCGGTTCCCGGGGAAATGGTTTCGTTCTCCGAAGGAGCAGGGCGCAGTCCAGAGCGGAGCAGGGCTCGCACTCAGTGTTGTGGGTTTGTGGCCTCTGTGGCAACGCCCAGTAGGATTTCAGAATCCCTGCTGGAGGTTTCGGGAGAAGTGGTGCTCAGGACAATGGCAGGGCTCTCTGAAGGGCAAGGAGGGCTTTAGGAATGTAGGACCCGAGAAGACCAAAAACATTCACACCTCCGTCCACACCCACTCCTTCACCTGGAACGAAATTTGGACTCGGACCTGGGCACTTCTCTGTCCCTCACCTTCCCCCTGTGTGGAGTGGCGCGGGCCCTGTGAGGCTGTTCTCTCTGGAAATGCTGCTGGCACACCTGACCTCTCCCTTCTGCAGGCCGGAGGCAGCACCGGGCTTCTGATGGACTTGGCAGCCAATGAAAAGGCAGTTCACTCGGACTTCTTTAATGGTAAGGTGCAGGGCTGGGTGCCAGTTTTAATCAGGACATTTCTTCTGCAAGCTGTGCAGTGGAGCGACTTGGTGACACAAGTGATTTAGATCATGGAACAGTAAAACCCAGATCCTGTGCCATTCTCATAACACAGCACAGTTCATATAAAATAAGTGTGGCTGTTACCACTGGCAGCCAGCCCTGTTTCTCAGAAGAAGAAAAAAAATAGCATAAAATTGCTCCCAGTCTTACATTCCAGGCATTGAGTTTGAGCCCTAGACACGCTTTTGGACACGCGACGGCAGCTGGGTTTGGACAGTGACCTGAGTTGCAAAGCACGAGGACCTGTCTGGCTTCCTCATCGCACTGTCTCTGGATGGCTGGTTTTCTCGCCTTTCTGTTTGCCACTGGTCCCATCCCTGCGCTGCCTTCACAGAGAAGCAGCCACTCTCCAACCTCACCCACCCCACCCCCAAGAACAGAGGCATTGGTATTTAGACCTTCGTTGCCAAGTGCACGAGCACGTGTACAGTTTTAACAAAACACAGTGAAGACTTTATGTGAGATCTTCATGCACGTTAGAGGAGCTGTTTTTCTTGGTCTCACCGAGTGTTCCTAAGACCTTGTTCCTAGGTTATGTTAACTCTTACTGAGGGTTCAAGTCGTCAGTAGAAACAGATAGTTTCCTTAGGGGGTCGAGTGGTGTTTTCTCCCTTTGTCATCCTTTATCCCAAGGAGCCTGCCACTACAAAGAACTTTTGTCACTCGTTAGTGGCATCTTGTCCGTCACATTGGTTTTCAGCGTATCAAAGACCCTCGAAAGCCTGAGTCCAGGCGATTTTTTTGGCTCCTTTTCAGCCAGTCGTTGCCTAAAAGGAGAACTAGTCTGCCTAGGTAGGTACAGACTTCCCAGGGAGCCTGTCTGTTCCCCTGAAGCAACGTCCCGGCTGCCACCAACTCCTGTCAGAACTGGGGGAAGTCACACTTGAGCCAAGCCTTGAGAACAGAATAGCATTTGTCTCAATTCTCTAAGCAAGGGGGTGTGGGAAACAAATTGTGAAAGGGGCGAGGCCTTTCCTGAGCAGCCTGTGCAAAAATGCCAGCTCACATAGCACGGCTTCGGAGGCCCCTTACCCTGGCCCCGCAGAAGTGTGACCTCTGACTCCTAACACCACACATTCTGATGATCTCCTTCAACGCCGGACTCACCCTCCACCAGCCCATAGCTTTAAACACAACGATGTTCCAGTGTTCATGTGATTTCCAGACATAGCTCCGGCGAGAAAGCATCTGTGAGAGGGGCCCAGCGAGCATTTATCAACAGCAATTTAGGGCCCTTACCTCCTTGAGTCAGGCCAAAGAACACAGAAGAGCTTGTGCCCACGTCAGAGGCCCACCGACTGTTCACAGGTGCACACTGCCTGTCAGCTTGTGAGCATCCCGTGTTCAGAAGCCATCACTGTAAGAGGGCCATGCGGGCTTTAGATGGGGCTCCTGAGTCCTTTCTGCTCATTGACTGAGGTTCCGATGGCCTGTGTCCCACAGGCAGTTCTAACCATGGCCGAGGCTCATCCTCTTCACTGACTGCTTCACAAAACAGCACCAGACAGGGCGCAGGTAGGGACAGTTCCATGCAAGAGCCCTGACAAAGGTGGGCAGCATTGTTTCTAGGAGCTGACACCTGAGCAGAGGTTCAGAGGCTGTGAGGATTAGGTAGGGTTGAGGATGTGAGTGCTCACAGCTACAGGATCGCTCACCAGGCCAAGCAGTGAGAGAATGCAGGCGTTGGTGGGACTGACTGTCAGTGTGGCTGGAGAGGCATGAACGCAGGGTGAGGGGATGCGAGTGGGGCTGCTGTCTCCTGGCACCCCCGCCTGCCCGCCCTCTCTAGCTCGTCACCACTGCATCTCCTCAGTGCATAGGCCACATGAATGGGCTTTGTACAAAATTTTCCCGTTGCAAAAGGATACATGTCCGTGTTAGGGAATTTAGAAGGAAATATATACAAAAGTAAATGAAAGGGGAAAACAATCGTGACTGTCCACCCATCGCAGTGAGTAGAGTGCTGTGCAAGGGTGGCGTTTCTGCCTGTAGGAACGGGGCTTAGACTCTGTTTCTCGAGCTTGTCTGTCGGTCTGACTCCTTTAAAGAGAGTCATTCTCACATGGCTCAGGCCTTCCACCTCCTCCCCCTACCCCATTTTCCTTCTCATGGAGAGCGGTGAGGGGCTTGTGCCCTTCAGCTGCCTGGCCTTACCTCCATGTCACCAGGGTGGGGCCTTGGCCAAGGTGCTCACAAATGGGTGCTGACGTGTCCTGGTGCTCAGTCATGGCTGGGAGATGGTCACCATCTGGTCGGGAACACGCCCTGATGCATTTCTTCAGCTTGTCATCTGAGTAGAAATACGACAGGTTGCATTCTAGACAGCACTGCCCTTGGGCTGCATCTGAGCCTGGTGGGTAGAATCGAGTCTGTCCTAGGAGAAGCCCTTCATATAATTAGATTGTCCAGTGTTTTCTGTGTTTTGAATGACCACATAATTCATTGTGAAGTCATCTCTCAGTCGTTTACCTTGTGTGCCCAACTGATGCGTGGTTCTGTTTGTTTATGTAGATTTTGAAGATCTCTTTGATGATGATGACATCCAGTGAGGCGCTGTCTCATGCTGCGTGTGGTCAAGCCTTTGCTGCGTGAGCGTGTGGTGGAGCCCTCAGGACAGTCCCATGGTTCTGCAGAACGGGTGGGAACACCTGAAATGAGGAGATGGTTAACTGAGAAAGGACTGTTTCACCCATCTGAGTGAGGTCATTCCATCTCTGAATGTGACCAACTGTTGTCCTCACTTCAATTAAAAAAGCGATGTCATCACTACATGGTGATTTTCATTCTTGCATTTCTGAGTGAATGTTGCAATCCGTAAAGCTCCCTTTGTGCATGTGCATGCACGTGTGTGTTGGCGTGCTGAGAAGAATGCGGTGGTGGCACAGAAATCAGTGCACTGCTTCCCGTGTGCAGTGCTGAGTAATTTGGATGGTTCACGAAGAGGGAGTTGGTGTGAGACCCGTCAGCAATTTAGGGCATGCAGGGGTCCTAGTTGCACTGTGGGGACAGGCTCTGATCCCCTCCCTGCTGCACAGTCCCCCACCGGCGCCGGACTTCGTGTTTTCCCACCTTCACATTAGAGCAGCTGCTGTCCCCAAAACTGAGGTCCGAAAAATCAGGACAACTAGCTAATGACATAAGGAAACACCTTCTACATGAGAAATGTGTGCATTGGTCCATTACTAAGGAGAATGTAACATCTAAGGGGATTAAGTTTTTTAAAGTTTCTTATTGGTCCAGCTCAGCAATTCATAATGACTGTAAAAATTAAGATTACTATTTCAAATCAATCTCAAAGTAAAGACATTTCTTGGCTAGGAAATGCCCCTTCCACAGGACTTAGTAGTCCCCAGAGTTAAGCAGAGCCACTTAGTAGGTGAGCCAGATATGCCAACCTCTTCTGTGAGAACTTGCTGACGGCATCGCCCTGATGGCCTCTTGATGAGAGACATGCTCACTGGAGACCAGGGGAGGTTTTGCACAGGGAAGTGTCACCTCGGCCTCAGTTGTGAGTGCCGAGTGGGCTTCAGTCTGTCACTGTGACAGTGCACGTGTCCTGAGAGGGTGTAGCAGCCCCAAGCCCCGAGAATAGTTGTCCAGTGTCCCTGGAGAAGTGCGGACTGTTGTGTCTGAAAACCCTTCACCTGAAGCTCACTTTGCCCTGGGTCGCAATGGAGACTGCTCCTCTGCGTTGGGTCTCACCGTTCAGACCTCAAGCTAGTGTGCAGCCTGGTTTCAGAGAATGGCGATTCTCAGCCGTGTTCTTGAGGTTACTTCATGAGCAGTTTTACAGTTTCCTAACTGGGCTCCCAAAACAGGCCTAGGAGATTCGGTAGGAGAGCAAGTAGGTATTTGGGTAAATTCTTTAGTGACCAATGATTACCCTATGGCAGCAATTTTCAACCTTTTTCATCTCATGGCACATAAACTAATGACAAACTCTGTTGCACATCAAAAATGTTCTTTGCTGATCTGACAAAAAAATAGGTATAGTTTTGATTCATTCACACTGGATGGCTATTGATTGTGTTCGCTGTTGTCGTTTTTTTTTTTTTTTACTTGGAAAGTAAAAGAGGTCAGTGCCCTGACTAAACAGTCAGGTATTGCATGTTGTAAAAATTTTTGCGGCACACTGGTTGAAAATTGCTGCTCTACGGTCATCGTTGGGAAATTTACAAGAGTCTGAGGGTCTTGCACTGCACTGTGGATACAGCTCAGACCTGCCAGTGGCCCCCCATTTTTCCCTGTGGGGTCCTGGGGATCAACTCCCTTCCTGCTTGGGCCTCAGTTTCCTCATTGGTAAGTGAAGCTCTTGGTCTGGGAGGTCCCTTCTAGTTCCCGGGTCTCTGGTCTACAGCAGGAAGGAGTGATCGAGGCCCTGTGTTTCCTATCCCAGACTCTGAGCGCTCATCATTCTCACATCAGCCCCACTTGACCTCCTAGAGTCTACCTGGGATCACAGCATTGTGCAAACATGCCCCTCTGCTGGGATTGCCGCACACACACGTGACGCCTGCCACCACCCCGGGGACAGGGAGCCTGACAGGTCCTTGATGTGCTTCCTGATCCTTGGTGAAAAGCTGCATTCCCTGTCCCCGGGGATCATAGTGCCAGGAGACGAATGGCAGACTTGGAAGGAACACAGGACACCTGGCTCACAGACAAAGGGCTGGGGTGTTCATAGTTACTGATGTGAAGAACTTAGAATGGCATGAACCAAGTGACATGTGAGAAATGAATGGGCACAGGACACTGAAAAGAGTTTACAGAGAACCAATCCCAAAGGCCAGTAACTACAGGGTGGGGTGTAGGTTTACACTTGTGAGTACAAAAAACAGAGTTTATTCTTATGTTATTATTTATTGCCACGTGAACAACTGTAGACCTACTTTGCCCAATCCTTACATATGGCATGTGCACATGTATGTACCATTCCACTCGCCTTCTCCTAGATCCCACCTTAGCCCACAGACTGTGATGATACATGTGTGTATGTGATCACGTGTGTGGTTTCACAAAAGTTCGGGCTCATAGTCCCATGGGCAGGATAGTAAATGAATAGCCTGTGCAATCGCAGTGTGAAAGTTGTGAGCAGGGGGCAGGGACAGGCCCCACCCAGAGGATGCCCTTGGAGGTGAGCTCCAGATGGCAGGAGGAGGAGGGAGAATTAGGAGAGAAGCCCAACTGTGTGCAATGTTCAGGAGCAAGGGCAGATGGCCAGTGGGGTGGCCGTGAGAGTGGGTGAGGGGGTCCCCAGCAGTGGTGAGGGGTGCTGGGGTGGAGGGATGGTCTTTCTTCCTGTCTTCTGGGTCTGCCCAAGTTTGCAGCTGAAGCAGAGAAGGAAGGCCTACCTTCCAAGGTCAAGGGCCACTAACTTACAGAGCTCCAAAGCAGGGACTGGTTGCACAGCCGAGTCCCCAAGCTTGGAGAGATTGTTAGCCAGGGTCTGGCAGACCCACAGATTGAAGATCCGGTTTCCCTGAAGAAGATGAGCTGGGCTCTTCCAGAGATGGTGCCTCTCTTCAGCTGGAATCAGCCCTGCAGGGCAGTGATTTCTGTGCAGCTAGAATTCACCTGCGCTGTGGCACTAGAGATGAATTTGCACAATTTGAGAGTCCTTTGTGAGTCGATAGATGGAAGCGCCCTACAGGAAGGGATCTGCGTGCAGACCCAGGGTGATTTGTTCCCACCACTGTCCTTGGACGGTGGAGTTGGTTTTGTTTTGTTTGTTTGTTCTCTTTTTCCTTTTGAATCAACTTTAAACATTATTTTGCTGAGACTTAATTTATCCTGTCACTTGGAAAGCTCACTCCATCCCCAGCTGTGCCCAGTGCAATTAAGTCAGTGTTGAAATAACCTGCTGGAACTTTTGCTGAAACAGGAGAACCACTGAGCCTGCCATGATAACAACATTTAGAGAGTGAGCTGTATTTTTTCCTTAACATCTTGCTGACGATTGTAATAATCCCCAAAGATCCGCTCACTGAAGGCCAACTTTGAGTCCAGCACTGTGTCCTCAGCACGTTCCAGGGTAGGGGGTGGGTGGATAGTGCACTCAGTTTGCAGATGAACCAACGACCTCACCGAGGACCGGGCAGAGCAGGACACTCAGGCCCAGGCCACGGTTCCACCCTCCAAGACGTGAGACCTGAAGGAAGTTACATAACTTCCCTGCCTCTGTTTTCTATCTACACAAATGAAGGTTACACTTAGCTCAAGAAAATAAAAATTTCTGGTCAGCAAAAACTGTCATGGAGCCCTGGCCAGTTTGGCTCAGTAGTTAGATCGTCGGCCCATGGACTGAAGGGTCGAGAGTTCAATTCTGGATCAAGGGCATGTACTTCAGTTGCAGACTCAATCCCCGGCACAGTAGGGTGCTTGTGGGAGGCAACTAGTCCATGTGTCTCTCTTGAATAGATGTTCTCTCCCTCTCCCCTCTCCTTTCTTCCTCCCTTCCACTCTCTCTAAAGATCCATGGAAAAGTATCCTTGGGTGAGGATTAAATAATAATAATAATAAAAAGCTGTGGAGGAGTCGTCCAGCCGCAGACTGAGGAGGACAGTACCCATGGGTGCATCTTGCCCTGTGTACTGAGGGCAGTAGCCAGACGAGTCCAGGTCCTCTCCCGCTTGTATGACATCCCAGTGCAGACAAAGTTCACCCTGGGGATGCAGGTCAGGGAGTGGCTGCCTTGAGTTAGTGGAGGTGTCAGGGGAGGAAACACTGGAAATGTGGGGGGGTTACATGGTTGTATTTAACTGTCAACACTCATCAAACCAAATGCTTGAGTTCTGAGCATTTGCATACGTGCACATTGTACATCAATAATTTTTTTAAAAGAAAAGCGTATCAGTCAGCTCTGGCTGCCATCATGAAGTACCACAGACAGTGTGGCCTAAACAATGGAAATTTATCTCTTCAATGTTCTGGGGGCTGAAAGTCCAAGTTCAAGGTCGGGGCAGGGGTGGATTCTGGTAAGACCTTTCTTCTTGGCTTACGGATGGCCACCTTTGTCCTGTGTCCTCTCACAGCCTTTTCTCTGTGCAGGTGGGCTCCTGGTGTCTCTTCTTTCAATAAGGACACCAGCCCCATTGGATGAGGAGCCTACCTGAATGACATCATTTAGCTGTAATTCCCTCTTAAAGGCCCCTTCTCTGAAACACAGTCCCATTGGGGGCTGGGGTTTCAACATATCAATTTGGGGGGAACATGATTCCATAACAAAAAGACTTATTGTCTTAATTAACCCTTTGAGTGCCAACCAATATCCTAGGAACTATGCTAAAATTGCCAAGGCATTTTTGCTGATTTTACAGCAGTTTAGGAAAAAAATTATGAATCGCAAGTAAATGAAGTTACATATTCAAAAATTTAAGGAAACCTTTACTACATTGACATATTTAGCAATATCAGCATCACTAATAAAAGCAGATTTAGAACTGGACGCCATTTTGAAGCTTTGATAGCGCTCCCGGCACTTTTGGCGAAAGACAGGAGAAGCGCGATCGCGCTCCCTGGCATTCTAGGGGTTAATTAATTAAATCTATTTTTATTGATTTCATGGAGAAAGTTGGGGATTTTAGGAAAAATAAAACAAATATAATAAAAGCCTAATCTACCGAACTGCAGAACGACTGGTGGAACAACCAGTCGCTATGATGTGCACTGACCACCAGGTGCAGACACTCAACTCAGGAACTGCCCCCAGCCTGCAGGCCCCAGGCCAGCCAAGGTGGGTGCCAGTGGGGGCCCTCCGATTGCCCTGCCGG